ACTTTGAGAGACACTCCTGAATGCAACTGTAAAAAGCCAGTACAACATGAGAGAATGAGTAATAAACAAACACAAACTCATTTAAATCAATATTCAAAGAGTTATATAATAACTCACATTATTTAAAAAATGGCTGGACTTCAAATATTTTACTATTTTGTCTTTAATTCAATAAGTACATAGTACTTATTCTCAGAGTGTGTTTGTGAAACTTCAGTACCTACAGATGCTCCATGAAAAAAGAGCTTGATCAAATAAGCTTGTGAAATGTTATATACTGTCTTCCATATTTAGAGCTATACTGAATGTTAACTTTTTTTTTTTTTGACGGCACCTCGCGGCATGTGGGGTCTTAGTTCCCTGACCAGGGATTGAACCCAAGCCCCTTGCAGTGGAAGCCTGGAGTCTTAACCACTGGACTGCCAGGGAAGTCCCTGCATATTAACATATTAAAGACTATTACAAGTCCTGAAGCAAAAACCTTGGACCTCATTGTTTCTCAAATTTATTTGTCCATGAGCCTTCCTTTGTTTCTCCTAATAATTTCTGTTAATTTACAGAACAAACTTGGGAAAGTCTTGCCTTTTTTTTTTTCTTGGTATTGTGTGGAATTAAAAAGAAGTAGGGTATTTTTTGTAATTAAAGAACTTAAAATCTTGCTTTTTTTTATAATTAAAGAACTTAAAATCTTGCTTGAATGTCAAGACTTGGATGTGACACTTTAAAGATGGTAAATAGGCGGCTTCCCTGGTGGCGCAGTGGTTGAGAGTCCACCTGCTGATGCAGGGAACATGGGTTCGTGCCCCGGTCTGGGAAGATCCCACATGCCGCAGAGCGGCTGGGCCCATGAGCCATGGCTGCTGAGCCTGCGCGTTTGGAGCCTGTGCTCCGCAACGGGAGAGGCCACAACAGTGAGAGGCCCGCGTACCGCCAAAAAAAAAAAAAAAAAAAGATGGTAAATATATAATGCTAAATTGAATATAATTAAGTGCCAAAATGTAGAGTTGCAGCTAGCAGAGGGAAAAAGGTCAATTTAGGTTAGAGTCTTCAGGTAAGATTTTGAGGGACAGATGGGTCTTGAAGGATGAGTGGTGAGGTTTGATTAGGAGTAATGCTGGCCTGGACTATCTAAATTGGTAAAGTAGTTTACAGGTATCAGTTTCTTTATTCACAAATATGTCTTAGCTTAGAACATATGACAGTGCTTCCTCAGTGACTTATTTGTTGAGTATGTTATATAGTAATGCTTTTCAAACTAACGTATACAAGAATTATCTGGGGAATCTTGTCAAAAATGGTTTCTGATTGGATGGGTCATGGGTGGAGCACATTTGAAGTGACAGATGTAGAGGCTGATCAAGTCTTGGATCAGTAATTGAGTAAGATGACCTTTGAGGCACACTTTAACCTTGGTATTTTATAAATATTCTAGGGTGGAGTGTCTGAGGTAGTAGACAGAGAACAATATTAGGAATGGAAGGACCTAAATTCTAGGATTTTTTTTTTTTTCTCAAGTTCTGTCAGTCATTTGTTAGCCATATGACCTTGGGCTAGAGTTAGTTAACTTATGTCTGAGCTTCTCTGTTTACTCTGTTAAAGGGTGGGGTTGGAGAAGGCAAGGGCCTGAGGAAGTGAAATAATACAATTTTAAAAAACGAATTTCTGTGACCTCCCTGGTGGTCCAGTGGTTAAGAATCTGCCTTCCAATGCAGGGGACGCAGGTTCGATCCCTGGTTGGGGAACTAAGATCCCACATGCCATGAGGCAACTAAGCCCATGTGCTGCAACTACCAAGCCCACGCGCTCTGGAGACCGCACGCCACAACTAGAGAGAAGCCCGCATGCCTCAAACGAAGAGCCCGTGCGCTGCAGTGAAAGATCCTGTGCACCACAACTGAGACCCAACACAGCCAATAAATAAATAAATAAAGTAAAAAAAAAAAAAAAAAAAAGAAACATCCATTTCTTAAGTACATTAAGCATGTTTACTGTTAAATACTATTACATGATTGAATTGCATCTTAAATGGTTTTTCCCATCTCTACGTGGGATGGTTTGGAAGTAGCTAACTGGTTTTTCTGGGGAACTTAAACTAATAAGCGGAGGTGTATGTTACACAACTAACATGTTTATTATCCTTACTTGTAGACAGTTTGTTTGAATTTCGAATTGTTTTTTCCTTTGTGCTTTTTAGTACGAAATGTGGTCTTGTGGCTTTAAAACTAGTTCATGGTAAATTGTATTATAGCACAAAATAAAAAATTGGTCTTTTTGTGAAAAACATTTTAGTAAGTGGATATTAATTCTATAGGTTATACTTGGATACCTTTAAACATACATTGTAAGTATTTCTCATGTTTGTGAGTGGCTACATTTTGACTAATTATTTGTGTAATGTAGTTGTGTTGCTTTGGGAACATATGATACAGAAATGACATTTATGAAATGGATAGTTTTTATATGTTTTCTTTTTTTTAAATAAATTTATTATTTTTGGCTGCATTGGGTCTTCGTTGCTGCACGTAGGCTTTCTCTAGTTGCGGCGAGAGGGGGCTGCTCTTTGTTGTGGTGCGCAGGCTTCTTGTTGCGATGGCTTCTCTTGTGCAGCCCGGGCTCTAGGCACGCGGGCTTCAGTAGTTGTGGCGTGCGGGCTCAGTTGTGGCTCGTGGGCTCTAGAGCGCAGGCTCAGTAGTTGTGGCGCACGGGCTTAGTTGCTCCGCAGCATGTGGGATCTTCCCAGACCAGGGCTCGAACCTGTGTCCCCTGCATCGGCAGGCGGATTCTTAACCACTGCGCCACCAGGGAAGTCCCTATATATTTTTCTTAAAAGAAATTTGTAGCATAAAGGGAAATAACTCAAAAATGTTTAAATGGTAGTATATTGAAAATGATCATACATGCTTTTGAAATACTGATCGATAATCTTAAGTGATAAAGTATTAGCATATGAATTAAATCTTCTCTAAAGAAAAGGTAACCCTTTCCTCCACTCTCTTCCCCACCTATCCAGCATCCAAGGAATTGGGTGGCAAAGAGGAAAGCTGCTTCTCAGACAGTGACTCCCCTAATTTGAAGACATGAACCTAGGGAGGGATTAGCGGAAGCGTGTTTGATGGAGGTCTTGAGTTGAGAGATTGGTTACATTAAACAAATTAATTAATTGAAAGAGCAAATGAATAAATGTATTTGAAGATAATGGAAGCTGTGTTTCTCATTGGAAAGGACTTACAAACATAAAAAGGGAAAGTCTAGAAAGAAACTTAAGGTATGGAATTAGTTGAACGCATTGGTGTACACACATTTTTAAAATTATTATTTATGCACAGATAAAGAAATAGGTATAGATGTCTATATTTCTATGTATCTATATAAATTAATATATTTCCTAGCTTTCTTTGCTGAGAGGACTCAATAGCAGTGAAACTCCAGTAACATTGAGCATACCTAGTGCCCAGATCTTGATTTCTGAATACTATCCTTGACTAAAAGGAACCTGAGCTTAATTTCTAGGGTCAGGAGGGGAGAGTACAAGATGAGCCTACAGATTTCTTTTGTGCCAGAAAGTAAGGAAGTACTCAAAATGATGGGGACATGTCAAAAGAATATTGGAACCACTTTGAAAGGGCTCCTGATGGCCAAATCTTGTGTAATTTGAGCAAAGAAATAGAGTAATGGATTAAAACCCACAGAATAAAGTAAGAATCCACGAATCCATACTGATATAAATAAATGACTGAATGAATTAAGGAGGGTTGGGGAGGGAAAATTCTTTTTATTTATTTTTTGGTTGCGTCGGGTCTTAGTTGTGGCACTCAGGATCTTTTGTTGCGGTGTGCAGGCTTCTCTCTAGTTGTGGCACACGGGCTCATTAGTTGCAGTGCGTGGGCTTCAGAGTGAGAGGGCTTAGTTGCCTCGTGGCCTGTGGGATCCTAGTTCTTGACAAGGGATTGAACCGGTGTCCCTTGCATTGCAAGACATTCTTAACCACTGGACCACCAGGGAAATCCCAAGAAAATTCTTTAAAGTAGGATGCCAACTAAAACATATAGTAGTGATACGATTAGATGATTACCACCATGATGGTATTGGATAAAGGCAAGAGTAGTCAATGAATGCTGTGGCTAGTGGGTGGAGGTTTGTTGAGGAACAGGATATTGGTGAATTATCAGAATGATTTCACGTAAACTAATCAAATACAAAGGGAAAAATAGTGACTTTACGGTGGAGAAACCTGGCAGATACCAACTTGACTAGGTGATCAAGGTTATACCTAATGATGGGTAGGTATAGTATGCATAATATCATGTCTGTATATTCTTTCTATGAATGTTATGGCCTGACTTGGGTTACGAGGAACATCAGGTAGATGCCCACATCACAAAGGGGATGAGGAACCAAGCAGACTGATAGTCATCCTGGAAAATAAAAAGCCTATATTCTTTACAGACAAGGGCATGAAAATGGGGAAAGATTAAAGGATTGTTTCAGATAGAAGGAGACAGAGGAGATCTGATAAGTACATACAATATATGTTCCTGGTTAGGATCCTGAACCAGAAAGGAAAGAGAGACCTTGTTGGGACATTTGATAAAATTTGAATGTGTCCGTGGACTGGGTCTGTGTTATATCAATGATGATTTCCTAATTGGGAGGGTTGAATGATGCTAATATAGCAGAGTGTTCTTATTTTGGGAGTTACACACTGGAGTATTTTGGAGAGGAATGATGAATCATGTCATAAAAAGTTGTATCTACACATATTCTGTAGGCTTGAAACTATTTTAAAATAAAAACAAACTAAACATACTTTTCTGAGGATAAATTTATCTTTCTAACTTTTTTGTTTCTGTATTTATAGATTATTACATTTTGCTACACTTGTAGAGAGATTCCTTCAGTAAATGTTTATTGGTTGAATAAGCACTGTACTTTATCCAAGAATTTAAGAATTCTGTGAATTTTAATAGGATAATAAATACATTTTAAACTTTGTCTTTCAGAAAGCTGAAGTTGATGGTAGTTTAAGTGATAGCCATGTGTCTCCTCCAGCCAAACGCACTTTGAAACAACCTGATTCTGTTTGCAAAGACAAATCTAAATCACGAAGTACTGGTCAGCGAGAGGAATGGAACATATCAACTGGACAGGCCAGGTGAGAATGGAGAACTCCTATATTGTTTTTTCATGAATTATTTGATGTGATTCAGGGCTTATAATTGCTAATTTTCTTAAATTGTAAAGCCACCTGGCCAGAAACACTTATAAATTGTATTAAGCTTATTTTATAATTTCTGTATATAATTTTATTTTCTCTAAATATGCCAAAAATATATGTAGTATGTAATAGAAACTAATATTACTAAAACAATAAGAATTTTGATAGGTCTTGAATGTGCATACGTGTTTATAGTCCTGAAAATTTAAATAAAAACATATGGTTAAAATTATATTTTTTACTTGAAAATAAGATAAAATCTCCCCTTCCTAAAATTAAGTATTCCACTTGAATTGGTATACTAAAATGTAATAAAATCTAAATTAATTTTTAAAGAAATCTTTTCATCTATCTGGTTGTTTTCAACTTAAATTTGCTTTGTGTCTGTTTTGATATGTATTAGAAAACAATTTTACTCACTTAACCAAAGTAAGTGGTACTAATTTAAGGTAGATAGGATAGGTGTATACACACACTCAGAAAAGATTTAAATTTTGAGCTTAGAGTCTTTAGCTGCTTCTCTTTTTTCCAGTGTTTGATGTAGAAGTGCTGATGATGTGCCAACTGCAAACCAGAAGTAAAAGGGAATTCCCTTTTGACAATATTTTGATTTTATGTGTGTAGGTAAATTCTGGATACTCTTAGGCTTTAATGAAAATAATCTTTGCAGTTATATAGATTTTGACAGGCATTGTACATTTACTAGTCTCTAAAGAGTCTTTACCTATTTTAATATGTATTTAAAATTTTAAATTTTGCATTGTCTGGGAGTTAAGTAGATTATGTGAATCATAGCCTATTGATTTTTTTTTTTAACTTTACCATACTCCTTCATCTGTGAGATGAAACAGATCCAGATAACTATAATGATGTTACTTAAAATAAGTACAGCCCTTTAATTACACTTCTATGCTTGATCTATCTGTTATAATTTGTATCCTGTATTTATTAAATGAGTGAATCAAGCTTCTTTTTCTAGTAAATGTTCTAAAAAGTGTTCTTGTAGTGTTAAAAGTTTGACCTTTAATTGTAAGATAATTTTAACAGTTTAATTCGGGTGTAAGTCTCTGATACCTTAGATTTCCCACATCTTATCCACTCAAATCTTTTATGTAAATTAATCTTGATCATGTCTTTCATGTAAAAAGGCTTAAAATTTCTTTGAGGGGAGAGAGTTTTGCTTCCATTTAGGTACCTTAGAGTTTGATATTCCTTTAAAAAAATATTAAGTACATTTTGAATAACAAGCTTAAGAAATAATGAATACTAATAAAATTTACTGTTTTTTGTTTTTTTGGCAGGAGAATAATGTTTAGCAGTTCACACAATTTTAAAAGTTTTTTGAGTTAAACTTTCATCAAGGGATGTGATTAAGTGCTACACTGTTAGAATTAGACTCTTAGTGTTTCAGATGACCTGAAAAGAAAATGCCATTTGACCTATCAGATTCAACAGAATTGAATTTTAGGGAAACTTGTAGTTAAAGATATTTTAGATTTTGAGATAGTATGAATACAAAAATCAGGATTTATTTGAAGGCTTGTATTAATTTTTATGTCATGAACCTGAGAATCCTAAGTCCTTTATTTTGGTACTCTAAAGTCTTAAGAGCATCTAAGGTAAAATGACTTTCACAAAAGTTCTTTCACAAAAATAATTTGTTAAAATACAATTCATTGGAGGAAAATTGAATATAGGTAAGAATTAGTATTAGCTATGAAAAATAATCCTAAAGAACTTTGTTAACAACCACTATATTCTTTTTTTTAAAACAAGTTATTTATTTATTTATTTATTTAATTTATTTATGACTGTGTTGGGTCTTCGTTGCTGCGTGCGGGGCTTTCTCTAGTTGCAGCGAGCGGGGCCTACTCTTCATTGCGGTGCACAGGCTTCTCATTGCGGTGGCTTCTCTTGTGGAGCACGGGCTCTAGGCGCACGGGCTTCACTACTTGTGGCACATGGGCTAAGTAGCTGTGGCTTGCAGACTCTAGAGCACAGGCTCAGTAGTGTGGCGCACGGGCTTAGTTGCTCCGTGGCATGTGGGATCTTACTGGACCTGGGCTCAAACCCGTGTCCCCTGCATTGGATTCTTAATCATTGCGCCACAACGGAAGCCCAACAACCACTAAATTCTTTTTTTTTTTTTGCGGTATGCGGGCCTCTCACTGTTGTGGCCTCTCCCGTTGTGGAGCACAGGCTCCGGACACGCAGGCTCAGTGGCCATGGCTCACGGGCCCAGCCGCTCCGCAGCATGTGGGATCTTCCCGGGCTGGGGCACGAACCCATGTCCCCTGCATCGGCAAGCAGACTCTCAACCACTGCACCACCAGGGAAGCCCCCACTAAATTCTTTAAAGAAACTACTGTTGATTGGTGAAATAACTTATTTATTAATTTTTAAAAAAATTTTTATTAATTTATTTTTGGCTGTGTTTGGTCTTCGTTGCTGCGTGTGGGCTTTGTCTAGTTGCGGCAACCGGGGGCTACTCTTCGTTGCAGTGTGTGGGCTTCTCATTGCGGTGGCTTCTCTTGTTGCGGAGCATAGGCTCTAGGTGCGTGGGCTCAGTAGTTGTGGCACGCAAGCTCAGTAGTTGTGGCTTGTGGGCTCTGGAGTGCAGTCTCAGTAGTTGTGGTGCACAGGCTTAGTTGCTTCATGGCATGTGGGTTCTTCCTGGACCAGGGCTCGAACCCGTGTCCCTTGCATCGGCAGGCAGATTCTTAACCACTGTGCTGCCAGGGAAGTCCCGAAAATTTTGTTTTGTGGTCAGATGATGAGGGAGTAGTGAGGTGAGGCAGAAATGTAATCACCACTGCTGAGGCTCATTAGAATGAAGGCTGGTAGTGGTTAAAGTCTTTTCAGATGATTGATTTTGCTGAATTGAGGTTTAAAATTCTCATAAATCATTGAATGCCTTGGGTTTATTTGGGAAAGGGAGAATAAGTAATGATTTTTGAGTCTGATATTGCATTTGTAGTGTGCTTCACATAATTAAAGGTGTAGAAACTTTCTTTCTTTTTTTTTTTTGCGGTACGTGGGCCTCTCACTGTTGTGGCCTCTCCCGTTGCGGAGCACAGGCTCCGGACGCGCAGGCTCAGCGGCCATGGCTCACGGGCCCAGCCGCTCCGCGGCATGTGGGATCTTCCCGGACCGGGGCACGAACCTGTGTCTGCTGCATCGGCAGGCTGACTCTCAACCACTGCGCCACCAGGGAAGCCCTAGAAACTTTTAATGTAATAATTATCTAATGCAGAGTGATACTGTCTCCATTAAAAAAATTTAAGATACAGAGATATAGGGAAATATCCCCCACCCACACCCCCCCCCCTTTTTTTTAACATCTTTATTGGAGTATAATTGCTTTACAATGCTGTGTTAGTTTCTGCTTTATAACAAAGTGAATCAGCTATACATATACATATATCCCCATGTCTCCTCCCTCTTGCATCTCCCTCCCTCCCACCCTCCCTATCCCACCCCTCTAGGTGGTCACAGAGCACCAAGCTGATCTCTCTGTGCTATGCGGCTGCTTCCCACTAGCTATCGATTTTACATTTCGTAGTGTATATATGTCCGTGCCACTCTCTCAGTTCGTCCCAGCTTACCCTTCCCCTTCCCCCTGTCCTCAAGTCCATCCTCTAGTAGATCTGTGCCTTTATTTCTGTCCTGCCCCTAGGTTCTTCATGACCTTTTTATTTTTTTTTAGATTCCATATGTATGTGTTAGCGTATGGTATTTGTTTTTCTCTTTCTGACTTAACTTCACTCTCTATGACAGTCTCTAGGTCCATCCACCTCACTACAAATAACTCAGTTTCATTTCTTTTTATGGCTGAGTAATATTCCATTGTATATATGTGCCACATCTTCTTTATCCATTCATCTGTCGATGGACGCTTAGGTGGCTTCCATGTCCTGGTTATTGTAAATAGAGATGTAATGAACATTGTGGTACATGACTCTTTCTGAATTACGGTTTTCTCAGGGTATGTGCCCAGTAGTGGGATTGCTGGGTCATATGGTAGTTCTATTTTTAGTTTTTTAAGGAACTTCCATACTGTTCGCCATAGTGGCCGAATCATTTACATGCAAGAGGGTTCCCTTTTCTCCACACCCTCTCCAGCATTTATTGTTTGTAGATTTTGTTGATGGCCATTCTGACTGGTGTGAGGTGATACCTCATTGTAGTTTTGATTTGCATTTCACTAATGATTAATGATGGTGAGCATTCTTTCATGTGTTTGTTGGCAAACTGTATACCTTCTTTGGAGAAATGTCTGTTTAGGTCTTCTGCCCATTTTTGGATTGGGTTGTTTGTTTTTTTGATATTGAGTTGCATGAGCTGCTTGTATATTTTGGAGATTAATCTTTTGTCTGTTGATTTGTTTGCAAATATTTTCTCCCATTCTGAGGGTTGTCTTTTCGTTTTGTTTATGGTTTGCTTTGCTGTGCAAAAGCTTTGAAGTTTCATTAGGTCCCATTTGTTTATTTTTGTTTTTACTTCCATTTCTCTAGGAGGTGGGTCAAAAAGGATCTTTGTGAGTTATGTCACAGAGTGTTCTGCCTATGTTATCCTCTAAGGGTTTTATAGTGTCTGGCCTTATATTTAGGCCTTTAATCCATTTTCAGTTTATTTTTGTCGCAGCCTCTTTTAAAAATAAAGGAGACTTCATAATAAAGGATTTATTAGAGGATTAATTTAAGCAGTGAACCCACCTGGTTACATTTTAAGTGATTAATTTTTGGCAACCTTGATTTAAGAGACTTTTTAGGCAGCTTTATTATTGTATAGGCAGACAAACCCTTAAAATCCCAATATTCTCTATTTTTATACCCAAGTATTTAATATTCTGTCTCCTTTTTCTCCTTTGTATAAAGAGAAATAATTGTAAAATGATGACAATAAACTATAATTGGTAATTGGATTGATTGAAGAACACGTTTTTTTCTCCCCCCACCTTAAAATAGATCTTTCATTAGCAATGAAATAAAAGCCAATTAAGCACTGTCTTCTTTTTTTTATTTTTTTATTTTTTGCGGTACACAAGCCTCACTGTTGTGACCTCTCCCGTTGCGGAGCACAGGCTCCGGACGCGCAGGCTCAGTGGCCATGGCTCACGGGCCCAGCCGCTCCGCGGCATGTGGGATCTTCGCCGACCGAGGCACGAACTCCTTTGAATAATTTAAGTGTGTAAAATTCCAACCATTTGGTCTTACATACAGCTAAAATTCATATGGAGTCAAGACTTGTGAATTAAGTGATTGAACTGAGTTAATGTTATATTGGGTCCAAAGCCAAACTATATTTATTATTTTTCTATGTGGTTTTAAGTGGATTTTAAGAGTGATTCTAGGGAATTCCACATGTATGACCTTCTAAGGAATGACCTGTTAACACATCAATTCTATTACTTTATAGTCAAACTCATATACCAGGAGGATTGTGTATTTGTATATAAAGGTGCTAAAAATGAAATACTTTCTAAAAGGTAGTATATTAGAACAAGATGGTTATGTTGTTTTTATGGGGAAAGGAGGGATGGAGTTTTTTTTTTGTTGTTGTGGTACACGGGCCTCTCACTGCTGCGACCTCTCCCGTTGTGGAGCACAGGCTCTGGACGCGCAGGCTCAGCGGCCACGGCTCATGGGCCCAGCCACTCCGCGGCATGTGGGATCTCCCCGCACCGGGGCACGAACCCGTGCATTGGCAGGCGGACTCTCAACCACTGTGCCACCAGGGAAGCCCGAGATGGAGTTTTTTATTTTGTGTTTTTGATAGTCTGAAGGCACAGAATCGTTTTTGTTCATACCTTTAGTCATCCTATCTGTGACCTTTATTAGACAGGGGCATTTATAATTAATATTTATAACATTTATAATTTTACATGAAGAACTCTGGAGTAACCAAAAATGTTAGAATATTTTAGTTAAAAAATGTTGTGCAAACCACATAGATAAGCAGATGACAGTCATATGTACTGTTTTTTGAATGTCCTCTCTCCCCTGCTTTTTACTCTTTGAAAATGATAATTGTTGGATATTTCCAAAAATACCCTAGTAAGTTTAAATTGATAGCTCTTTTACTACGTAACAATTTAGTTTTTGGTTTTGAATTTCTAATTGTAGTAAGGTGTACTGTGACTTTTTTCATAAGTCTTCATGTTTTAATGACCCTTTAAGTATCTTTCTAGTGACTTAACATTTCACTTCCTCCACCAAAAGGGAGAGTTGTACAACAGATTTTGAGAAATTAGCTAAATTTTCATTTATTAGTTTAGAATGTGTAATATAATACTTTGAGGAAATTATTAAGTGGTGTTGGTGTTCAAATCCTTTTTTATCTTACTGTTTATCATTTTAATAACTTTGTCATTGTTTGAATTTTATGTTGTGAACAAAAACCAATAGTAAATGTCTGTGACCATTGTTACTTATGGCGTCAGTTAACTTTATGATACATATTAAGCTTAAGCCTTTTCATTGGATATTAATTTGTAGAGTTGAAGACCGTAAGTTCAGTTTGTAATCTGTTATTAAAACTTTTCTTGAAGTAATGAAACGACTCTTAGCTAGTATATTTTATTAATTGGTATATTATCAGTGTTAGGGTAAAAAAAAGTCTTTACTTTTAAAAAAGTCATATTACATTACTGACATTTTAAAGATTAAAATGATTCCACCAGTATTTGCATTTCTTGCTTCTTTAAATGAATGTTGATGTGTTTGCATATTAAATATAATTGTGTTCTAGGTTAACTTCTCAGCCTGGTGCTACATTACCAAACGGACATAGTAGCTTATGTGAGTATTCTGTTATGAAACTGGTTAGTATTGAAATTCTTATAATGTTGTTAAGAGTATTAAAGTGGGATAAAATAGCATAATTTACTAGTATGCTAAGTATACTGTTGGAAGTGACTGTATTTCAGTCATGGTAAATATGTAATTGTTAAACACTGAGAAATCAGTACAACTGAAATAATTTAAATTATTATGGCAGATTGTAAACAGTTATAGAAATTTTAGATTTTAGATATTAAAGCCATTTAAGACGTTATAGTAAGCTTTTTATAGTCTTTTAAAAGTAAGTTTTGATTTTTTTTCTTTCTTTTTATACTCTATACTTTGAAATGGAAATTTCTCTCTTCTTGTAGCCCTTCGAAGCCATCCCCTTCGAGGCGAAAAGAAGGGAGATGGGGACCTTTCTTGTATAAATGGTGACATGGAAGTCAGAAAAAGTTGTCGTTCCAGGAAAAACAGATTTGAAAGCGTGAACCAGAGTTTGTTATTTGATCAACTAGTAAATAGGTATGAATGCTTTTGCAGTCAGCAGTTTCATGTAACTGTTGGTTTTCTTAAGCCAGTTATGTTTTAAAAAGTAACTTAAGCACTGAGTTAGCAATCAATACAATTATTTAAAAACTAAATTTGAATTAACCATGGCTAGCAATGATTTTCAGTTTCTGGTTACTTTATTAGATTTAATCCAATTTATGTGATAGCTCATTTTTTCTCATACTTTTTAAAGCTCTTGTGCATAGATAATATAAAAAGTAATTTTATTTTGACTTCACTACTATAGTCCTTTAATATTTGCTCATTTAACATTTGTGTTTTGACAATTTTCAAGCAGCATTAAGTTTCATTATTGATATATAATAGACATAGTTTTACTTAGTCAAGATTCTGAATTGAAAGTCTTTTGAGACTGCACATTGTTGGATGTAGCCTATCTGACTGCTCAGTGTCTACATGCAATGAAACTTTATTCTTCTCAGCTAATAAATCATCCTCCTTAATCACTGCAATAGCCTGGAGAAGTGAGGTCAGTGTAATTGCTATTTGAAATGAGAAGAAATTATATTCTGTAGTGGTAGTGTCAAAATTAGTTATTATTCGTTAAGTACTTAGATCAGTATCTGGGCTATGTGTGTGTTTAAAACATAAAATGTGCCAATGTTACCATATATTTTGTGGATGTCAGTGTCCTCTAATTTCTAAAAGTATCTATTCAGTTAACCTTATATTAGGTTTAAACTTTTTACAAATCCTTTTTTCTATACAATTTTTAACACCATCTTCAAGTAAAAGGATTTGAATTGTTTTTTTTTTCAGTGCCTTAGGTCTGGTAGTCAGTTATTTGTAGTAGCATTATGAATTTAAATATTTGGAGACTTATAAACAAAGGTCTTATATTTGTAAGTTTTATTATATTAAGGTAGAAGATGTTCTGATTCCCTTTTTTTTTTTTCGCTGTGCTGCATGGCTTGTGGGATCTTAGTTCCCCATCCAGGGACTGAACCCCAGCAGTGAAAGTGCTGAGTCATACCCACTGGACCACCAGAGAATTCCCTGTTTCCATCTGTTTTTGGGGCATTATCTTCTGGCGGATGCCAGTTCAGAAACAGATATTAATTGGGATGTTAGGTACAGTTACATATCAGAGATGATTTAATTATGTGTTGACGAAGAGCTCTTTTACATGTATGACACAGTGTTTGATTCCACGGTTGTCTAAACCCTAGTTTTATTATATAATTGTAGTACTGCTGAAGCTGTACTACAGGAAATGGACAACATAAACATTAGAAGGAATCGTCGATCAGGAGAAGTAGAACGGCTTCGAATGTGGACAGACACAGAATTTGTGAGTATATTAACTTTAACAACCTTTGCACGTATTTTTTATTTGGACTGAGGAATTGAGAGAGAGAGAGAGCAGCATTTGGATTTTCTTGAATTAACAGAATTGTTCCTTCTTGGTTTCCAGTTTAATCTGGGATTTTACTGTTTTCTTTCTTCTTTTATCCTTACCCCCCTTGCCACAACCTTCCCCAAAAGACCCTCTACACTTCTGCAGAGGGTCATCTTAAAGTCCACCTCTGATTCTGTTACTTTTCTCATTGGAACCTTTAATGGTCTTTTTGGGTTTTTTCGGCACTGTGCGGCACGTGGGATCTTAGTTCCCCACCAGGAATTGAACCTGTGCCCTCTGCATTGGGAGGGCAGAGTCCTAACCACTGGACCAACAGGGAAGTCCCTTTAATGGTTTTTTTAATGTGTACTGAATTAATTAAAAACGCCTTGACCTTTATAATCTGGTTTCAGCTTTATCTTCTCACATACCATTGCCCAAATATAAACGAATCATTCTTATTCTCCTATCTTTTACTCCTGTTAATACTTCTGGTTAAGGACTGATGCAGTTCTACCTTTGTTTCAAGGCTCATTTCAGATGCTTCCTCCCCTCCTCCCCCAAACACGGCTGGCGGGGGCGGATTAATCTTTTTGAATTCTAGACTCTTCTGTACCTTTTGCTTGTGGGATCTCAGTTCCCTGACCGGGGATTGAACCCTGGGCACAGCAGTGAAAGCCCAGAATCCTAACCACTAGGCCACCAGGGAACGCCCATGTACCTTTCTTTATGGCATTAAACTTGTTCTCGTTTATTTTATTTTATTATTTTTATAAATTTTATTTATTTATTTATTTTCGGCTGTGTTGAGTCTTTGTTGCGGCGCGCAGGCTTCTCATCGTGGTGGCTTCTCTTGTTCCGGAGCATGGGCTCTAGACACGCGGGCTTCAGTAGTTGTGGCACGTGGGCTCAGCAGTCGTGGCTCGTGGGGTCTAGAGCGCAGGCTCAGTAGTTGTGGTGCACAGGCTTGGCTGCTCCGTGGCATATGGGATCTTCCTGGACCAGGGCTCGAACCTGTGTCTCCTGCATTGGCAGGTGGATTCTTAACCGCTGGGCCACCAGGGAAGCCCTCTACTTTCTTTTATAGTTACCTGTGACTTGACTTGTTTTACCCTACTAGGCTGTAATTTGCTTAAGGGAGAAAGTATGTCCATGGCATTGTAGTTTTACATTTTCAAATATTTTATAAGTTTTATTTGTTTTTCCTCTTGTTTCTTACATGTATTGAATTCAGTAAGGTCCATTTTCATGAATCTTTGCCTTGCAAATAGGTCCTCAATAAATTTTACTGAATGGGCATGTCCCATTGGGTTAATGATATTTATAGCTGGGAATAAAATTCATGTTAATATTTGACAGATTTCTCTCTTTAAAAGGAAAACATGGATATGTATTCAAGAGTGAAAAGGCGAAGAAAGTCACTGAGAAGAAATAGTTATGGGATACAAAATCATCATGAAGTCTCTACTGAGGGTGAAGAAGAAGGTTTGTAAAAGCACCTTATGAAATAAATACTACAGAGTTCAGGTGGGAGGGAGGAAAATATGTACAAGTAATATATGTATAATATTGCTGGATGGGTGATTTTTGGCTTTAGAGGTCTATGTTACATAATTTGGAATAATTTTTATTCCATTGGCATTTCTGAGTATTCATTTTCTTCATTTGGAAAAATGCCTTTGCTGTACACTATGCATTGTTATGTAATATATCTTATTAGTAGCTATTGGTAGTCCTTAAGTGACCTAATCTGGTGTAGCATTTGCCATGGGCTGATTTGCTTGTTAGGTGAGGCCTCTTTTCTATTTAGGCACGTTCTAACTGTAAGTCTCTGTCCATAGCCACCTTCTATCCATAACCTCTCAATCTCGGATTATTTGGGTCTCAAATTTAGTTATGGACAGAGGAGTAGTAAATGGTACAGTTAAGAGAAAGAGAGACAGCCAGTACTAGTGAAGGGAGTTGTACTGCTCTTTTCTGAGGCCTGTCTGGGTTTTGAATTGACGAATCCTGACTGGATTTGTCGGGCTGGAGCTGGGAATAGATGAAAGCACGTTTGCCCCAAGGATTATAAATTGATGACCAGTGCATCCATAGGATTTAATTCTGTAGGTGTTAACCTTCTTTATTAAAATGGATTTTCAGAAGATTTGGTGTACTGTAAATGCAAGGTAGTTGTATTTCACCAGGGAATCTTATTAGTTCTGCTATTTGTGTAGCTTAGATGGAGAAGAATGGGTTTATTTCTCAAATTCTGTAATTAATATATTATTAGCAAGTTTTGAAGAGGTGATATTTCTAATGAAGGTATTTTATTGAGCAGATATTATTGTTGTTACAGCTAGAACCTCTATATTGCTTCCTTTGGAGAAAATCAGTATAGATGAGACAGATTTATAATGTGATTTTTGCCTTATCTTTAACGGAACATCTTTGTAGATTTCCCAGAGTAGATTTGCCATGTATAGAATTTCTTCCCATAATAAATAATGCAAGGTTTTTTTCAAAAAGTAATTTTTTGAAGGTTTAAGGAAACTTATTTGGGTGCAAGTGATTTATAGTGTTATTTAGTTAAGTAATACTGTATTTGCTGATTTTCTCTATAACTTAATAAACATTAAAAAAAACTTAGAGTAAGCTTTCAGATGTCATGAGTAAATTGTAAAGTCCTTTGAATTTTTAGTTTCTTATTTTACTGAGCATGGCTGACAGTTTTAACATTTTTTTCAATGTCTTAATATGATTGTGTTATAGTGACAATTCCTGTGGTTAAAAAGTTAATCATAAAGTACATTGCATTTGAGGACCATAAGCTTATAAAGTTTCACCAGACTTTTATTTTAAACTATAAATAGATGTCACATTATAACTATAGCCAAACTGCCTTTTTTTTTTTTTTTTAAAATTTATATTTTTGGGCCATGCCGGGCAGCATGTGGAATCTTAGTTCCCCCACCAGGGATTGAACCCGTGCCCCCTGCATTGGAAGCACAGAGTCTTAACCACTAGACTGCCAGGGAAGTCCCCCAAACCACATTTTAAAAATAAACTTTTAGAATTTATGTACATTATAATTTACTTTTTATTTATTTATTTATTTTAAAATTTATTTTTGGCTGCGTTGGGTCTTCGTTGCTGCGGGCGGGCTTTCTCTAGTTGTGGTGAGCAGGGGCTACTCTTTGTTGTGGTGCATAGGCTTCTCATTGTGGTGGCTTCTTCTGTTGTGGAACACAGGCTCTAGGCATGCTGGCTTCAGTGGTTGTGGCTCGCGGGCTCTAGAGCGCAGGCTCAGTAGTTGTGGTGCACGGGCTCAGTTGCTCCACGGCATGTGGGATCTTCCCAGACCAGAGATCTAACCTGCGTCCCTGCCCTGGCTGGTGGATTCTTAACCACTGCACCACCAGGGAAGTCCCGTAATTTATTTTTTAAATGTATAGCTAGGTTAATTATCATAAAGTGATCACTCATGTCAAGGCATAAACTATTACCAATACCCCAGAAATCTGCTTTATGCTCTCTCCCAATACCTGCCTGAATTTTTCTACCAAAATGACTAATCTGTGTTTACCTGTTGTCAACAGGCCTAACAAACCATTATACTGCCAACAAAAATTGCTCTTGCTGTAAGATAAGTAATTATCTTTTAAGCATTTTGTTTTGAACTATCAAGTAGTATGTGAATATTGACCTTATTCAGTGGTTAATTGGGCATTGAATGAAGTGTGCTCTAATAAAGTTTTGAGTCATATTCTATTATTGCTTTGTATGACCAAAAAGATAATAAAAAAGATTGAAAGGTCATAGGTAAATCAGGAGCTCAAATATGATCATATTGATATATTTAGCAGAGAACTAATATTTTTAAGAGAGGCATTTTCTTTTACATCTGTCGTTTTTTTTTTAAATTAATTTATTTAATTTGGGCTGCGTTGGTCTTCGTTGCTGCACGCGGGCTTTCTCTAGTTGCAGTGAGAGGGGGCTACTCTTCGTTGTGGTGCACTGGCTTCTCATTGAGGTGGCTTCTCTTATTGTGGAGCATGGGCTCTGGGCTCTAGGCGTGCGGGCTTCAGTAGTTGTGGTGCGAGGGCTCAGTAGTTGTGGCTCACAGGCTCTAGAGTACAGGCTTGGTAGTTGTGGCACAGGGGCTTAGTTGCTCTGCGGCATGCGGGATCTCTTCCTGGACCAGGGATTGAACCCGTGTCCCCTCCATTGGCAGGTGGATTCTTAATCACTGTGCCACCAGGGAAGTCCCCATCAGGGTTCATTTTTAATAGTATTGATTTATGCTGTATCATACAATGTTGACACTTTTAAAGCTAACTTGTGCAGAAAGAATAAAATAAAAATAAAAATATTCAGTTCTAGAGTGGACCAATCCTTGTGGATTAAAACAGTATTTTTGTGTGTGTGTTTGTGTGTGTGTGTGTGAAACTAGAATCTCAAGAGGAAGATGGAGATATTGAGGTTGAAGAGGCAGAAGGAGAAGAAAACGATAGGCCATATAATTTGAGACAAAGAAAAACAGTGGATCGATACCAAGCACCTCCAATAGGTAAGAGACTCTAAGTAACTTCTTTCCTTTTTGTAGTAGAGTAGCTTATTCTACTCCACTCCTTAAAAAAATAAGTGTTGCTGAATTTAAAAGAATGAAATCTCTTATAGCAGTTCTTTAGGGTAAGTTTCTCTGTGTTCCAAGTGGTTAAGTGTTGATAATTCAGCTAAAGTCAGAAAAGGGCAACTTGGCCAGTAACCTACGTTTGTGTTTTGTTTTTGGTTTTTTTTTTTGAGAAGGAAACAGTTTATCTTTTTTTTTTTTGGCGGTACATGGGCCTCTCACTGTTGTGGCGTCTCCCGTTGCGGAGCACAGGCTCCGAACACGCAGGCTCAGCGGCCATGGCTCACGGGCCCAGCCGCTCCACGGCATGTGGGATCTTCCCGGACCAGGGCACAAACCTATGTCCCCTGCATCGGCAGGCGGACTCTCAGCCACTGCGCCACCAGGGAAGCCCATATCTTAATGCTCTTAAATCTAATGACAGGTAATCAGTTCCACAGGTACTGTTTTATTGACTTTCTTCCCAGCTGTTGGGAAATTCCATCACTATTGATTTCCTCCAATTCTTAAAAAATTGAAGTAAAATTCACATATCATGAAATTCACCATTTTTGCTGGGTTTTGCTGATTTTTAATCTGTACAGTTTATTGCTTTTTAGTATTCACAAGGGTGTGCAGTCATCACCACTATCTAATTCCAGGACATTTTATTGCTTCTACACTTCCATCCCCACAGCCCTTAGCAATCACTAATGTATTGATACTTTCTGTCTCGATAGATTTGCCTATGTGTGACCTTCTGTGTCTAGCTTCTTTCACTTAGCATAATGTTTTCAAGGAAGAACCTGGATCATTTTATTCAAACTCTTAACGCTCTGAAGCAGTGATTGATTCTCTGGAATTATTAGAGTTACCTCACAAGAAGCTTGCCCAAGTATGTAGACATTTCTCTACTCCAGTTAAGAATCACTGTCAAAGATAGCCCTGTTAATAATGGGGAGGTACGTTGGGACAGAAAAAGGATTGTGATCCATTTTTTTAGTTTTTTTTTTTTAAAGCATTATTAAAGAGGTATAATTTATATGTAGTTCACTGCCATTGCATATATAATATTTCATGTGTACAATTTGGCAAGTTTGAACTATCTGAGGAATATACCTATGAAACTGTCACCGCACTCAAGGTGATGAACATGTTCATCAACTCCCCCAAATTTCGTTCTGCCTGTTTATAATCTACTCCTAACTTTCTTTTGCCTCCCCACTCCTAACCCTCAGGCAGTGACAGATCTCATCTGCTTTCTGTCACCATAGATTAGTTTACATTTTCTTTAATTTTATATACAGTATATACTCTTTTTTTGGTCTGACTTCTTTCACTCAATATAATAATTGTAAGACTCATCCATGTTGTCGACTTTAACAGTAGTGTTTTTCTTTTTATTGCTGAGTAGCATTCCATTGTATGGGTATTTCACAATTTGTTTATCCATTCATTTGTTGATGGACATTTGGATTGTTGACATTTCTGGTGTCTGGCTATTATAAATAAAGTTGTTATGAACATAATGTTTGCAAGTCTTTGTTTGGACATATATTTTCATTTTTCTTATAAACACCTAGGAGTGGAATGGCTGCGTTTTATGATTATGTGTATATTTAAGTTTCTAAGAAATTACCAAACTCTTCCAAGGTGATTATACTGCTTACATTCTCACTAAGAGTGTATGAGAGTTTCAGTTGCTCCATATTCTTGCCAACATTTGGTGTGGTCATTTTTCCAAGTTAATTTTAATACATATTTATTATAGTTTTAATTTACATTTCCCTAATTACTAATGATGTTGAGCATATTTTTATGTGCTGATTTGCCAACATTATCTCTGGTGAAGTATTCAAATCTCTTGCCCATTTTTTCAATTAAGCTGTTTGTTTTTTTATTATTGAAGTTTTGAGAGTTCCTTATGTACTTCAGATATCAGTCCTTGTGATTTGTAAATAGTTTCTCAGTCTGTAGCTTTTAAAACAAATCCTCTTAATAGTGTCTTTCAAAGAGAAGAGTTTGTAATTTGGATGGATTTCAGTTTATGAAAAAATTTATTTATTTTTTTGCGGTATGCGGGCCTCTCACTGTTGTGGCCTCTCCCGTTGCGGAGCACAGGCTCCAGACGCGCAGGCTCAACGGCCATGGTTCACAGGCCCAGCCGCTCCATGGCATGTGGGATTCTCCCGGACCGGGGCACGAACCCGCGTCCCCTGCATTGGCAGGCGGACTGTCAACCACTGCGCCACCAGGAAAGCCTGAAAAAATTTATTTTTTATAAATTTATTTATTTATTTATTTATGGCTGCTTTGGGTCTTCGTTGCTGCGCACAGGCTTTCTCTAGTTAGCTGCGGAGAGTGGGGGCTACTCTTCTTTGCGGTGCGTGGGCTTCTCATTGCGGTGGCTTCTCTTGTTGCAGAGCACGGGCTCTAGGCACCTGGGCTTCAGTAGTTGTGGCACATGGGCTCAGTACTTGTGGCACATGGGCTCAGTACTTGTGGCTCACGGGCTCTAGAGTGAAGGCTCAGTAGTTGTGGCACACAGGCTTAGTTGCTCCAAGCCATGTGGGATCTTCCCAGACCAGGGATTGAACCCGTGTTCCTTGCATTGGCAGGTGGGTTCTTAACCACTGTGCCACCAGGGAAGTTGCTCTCAAAATTTTTTTAATGGGTTGTGCTTTGGTGATGTGTCAAAGAAATCTTTGTTTAACCCAAAGTCACAAAGATTTAGCTTAACATTCTTTTGTAGAATGTGTATTTGAAACTTACAGTATTTACCACAAAATTTTAATTTTTGTTGTGCGTCTTCTAGGCAGCATTTAGAACTTGAAGATATATGACTGGCTTCTGTTCAGAAAGTTAACAGAACTAATTTCTTCTTTAATACATCAGTTTATCAATTTATTATCAGTTATTTCTATGTTGTCTTTTTTTTTCTTTTTTTCTTTCAGTACCAGCTCATCAAAAAAAGAGGGAAAATACGCTCTTTGATATTCACAGATCTCCAGCAAGAAGGAGTCATATCAGGTATGTTTTGTTAGTTTATTTATTTATTTATTTATTTTTCAGTACTCGGGCCTCTCACTGTTGTGGCCTCTCCCGTTGCGGAGCACAGGCTTTGGACGCACAGGCTCAGCGGCCACGGCTCACGGGCCCAGCCGCTCCACGGCATGTGGGATCTTCCCAGACCGGGGCACGAACCTGTGTCCCCTGCATCGGCAGGTGGACTCTCAACCACTGCACCACCAGGGAAGCCCTGTTTTGTTAGTTTTTGAAAGGAGGAAATATTTCCATCTATCATTTAGATACCTCCTTTAAGTAATACATAGTATAATGCCTTACAATTAGAATATAGGTATTGATGGTGTTAATGACAATGCCAATGAAGAAGTAAATAGCATCTTTCTTTAGTGACTAATAGTTTTTACCCTATATGTGACTATTATCTTCCTGTTTCAGTTTGCCCAAAGTGGTTTTTGTTTTAACAAATGTTCCCTAAAGCTATACAGCTCTCTGGTCTCTTAGTAGAGTTGAATCTAAGAGATTCACATTGCTTTCATTGGGTGCATTGATTCAATTAGTCTTTGCTACTTTTAGTTTCCTTTTGCCCTTTCTTTTAGGTATACAAAGGAGGCTTTTCGATTTTGAAATATTATTTTGTCTATTATGTTTTCTGAAAAGGTAATATATTCCCCATGGCTCAAAAATAAAATTAAAAATATAAACATGAAAAGCTTTTTTCTACCCTCAGTAGCCTCTCACTATCCCATAGAAACATTTTTATTGGTTTGTATATCCTTAAAGAATATGTTCATATATATGTATGTATATATGTGCTAATACATATATTGATTGTTGCCCCTTCTTTTTACACAAAATATTAAGTGCACATTGTCCACACCTTGTATTTTTCACTTGATTTATTTTAACTGTCTTTTCATTTTAGTGAAATTTCACATTTATGTTTATAGTTTTATAACATTACTATGTATAATATAGATATACTGTAATTTTTAAATTAGTTTTTTATTGAGAGTCAGGTTGCTTTCAGTCTTTTGCTATTATAAAATACAATATAATGAATACCCTTGCATAATCATCATTTTACATGTGTGCAAGTATATTTGTAGGATAATTTCATAGAAGTGGAATCTCTGAGTTAAAGGGAATATGAAATTGTAATTTTTTTTTTTTTTTGCGGTACGCGGGCCTCTCACTGTTGTGGCCTCACCCGTTGCGGAGCACAGGCTCCAGATGCTCAGGCTCAGTGGCCATGGCTCACGGGCCCAGCTGCTCCGGGGCATGTGGGATCTTCCTGGACTGGAGCACGAACCTGTATCTTCTGCATTGGCAGGCAGACTCTCAACCACTGCGCCACCAGGGAAGCCCTGAAATTGTAATTTTGATGACCTTCAATGGTATTGAATCAGTTTGCAGTCCACCCAGCAATGTATCAAAGTGCTAATTTTTCCATATTTCTGCCGGCAAAACATATTTTCAAACTTTTGTATTTTTGCCAGTCTGAGAATTGAAAATGAAATCTTGGTTTATTTTTTGATTTTCTTTCTTTTTTTTTTTTTTTTTTTGCGGTACGCGGGCCTCTCACTGTTGTGGCCCCTCCCACTGCGGAGCACACGCTCTGGACGTGCAGGGTGAGCGGCCATGGCTCACTGGCCCAGCCACTCTGCGGCATGTGGGATCCTACCAGACCGGGGCACGAACCCGTGTACCCTGCATCAGCAGGCGGACTCAACCGCTGCGCCACCAGGGAAGCCCTTGGTTTAATTTTATATCTCTTAGAGTAATTTTTCATATGTTTAAAAGACATTTACTTTTTTCTGAAATGTCTTTTTATAAAGTTTGCCTATTTTTTAATAGGTTCTTGCTCTTTGTTTTGTTTAAAAACTATTGCTAATTTTACAAAAATATATGACCATGTGAAGGTTCTTGCTTTTTTATCTATTTTTAGTAGTTCTTTCTTTATATAGCAGAGAGATCAGTCGTTTGTCACAAATTGCTAGTCTTTTTCCTCAGGTCAGAGTTTGTCTTTTTTTTTTTTTTTTTTTTTTTTTTTTTTTTTT